AATCCACCGGGAGCCATGTCCCATTGCATGTCCCGTTTAAGATTCACATGGGACACCGGCTCATTTCAACCAGAGAGAGCTGGTAAAAACTGTCAATCAACTCAATTTTGACATTATTGTGGGTCCTAGGAACAGTCAGGGTGAAGTCAGTACAATTTTTTAAAGTCTCTGATTTTTTTAAAACCCACTTAGAAATTCATTTCCAAGTTATTGTGTACAATGGAAAGGAGGAACTTGAATCATCACTTTTTGTTTTCTTTCTCATTTCACTTGTTTTTCCATTTTTCCCAAATCCCTGCTCAGTAGAAATCTTTTTCTCTTTCTATTTTCACTCAGAACTGCCACGCACTTCTGCAAGTAGGGACGTGTTTCCAAGCCATCAGCAATCGGATCCAGCTGCAAATCCTGGAAGCACAGAATCTGCCAAGTTCTTCCACTCCTCTGACATTGAGTAGGTGTTAACACAGACTTTGTCGCTCATCAAGTAATGAGACAGTCTTTAGTCGATATTTATAACATTTTGGAGCAATTAAGTTTAAAAATCATGGGTTGGAGTGGCTTGGGTTGGGGATCACAGAATTGGTCTAGAACTTTGGACATGGTCATCTTTGTATTAGGAGTGACAGAGTACAACTCCCAATGGCGAGGTCCTAGGGACCTGAAATTAGGCCTGAGGAATCATGAATATCAGGCCAGCATGGCTCATAGAGTCCGTAAGGATTGACCCTGCTGCCTGAGGTTGCAGTGGCCCTCAAGTGAGTGAGAGCTGGAGAGGACCAGAGCTTGAGCAGCCGAGTGGCCCAAAGGGTGATGTGGTGGCTCAGTGGTTAGCACTGCTGCCTCTCAGCACCAGGGATCCAGGTTCAATTCCAGCCTTGGGCAACTGTCTGCGTGGAGTTGGCATGTTCTCCCCATCTCCGTGTGGGTTTGCTCCAGGGGCTCCGGTTTCCTCCCAAAGCCCAAAGATGTGCAGGCTAGGTGGATTGGCCATGCTAAATTGCCCATGGTGTCCAGGGATTTGTAGGTTAGGTGGATTAGCCATGGGGAATGCAGGATTTCAGGAATAATGGAGGTTGGGGTGAGGTGCTGTTCAGACAGTCTGTGTGGACACGTTCAGCCCAGTGGCCTGTTTCCACACTGTAGGGATTCTAAGATTGGGGCTGGAGAAATCTTCAGCGATTTGCGGAATGTAGTAAGATGAAGCCAACTCTCAATTGTACAAACTATAACAGTCTTTATTAAACATAACTACTTACAAAGCAAAGGGTAGACAGCCAAAGGATGTGGGAACAGGGTATTGAGTTGGATGATAAGCCTTGATATTGAATGGCATGCTCCTGCTCATATTTTCCATGTTTCTATAATCTACAGGAGTCTTAAAGATTTAAATTTCAGCACCATGTATTCTTACATTACCTTGATCGAGGGAGGTGATAGCCTAGAGTATTATTGCTAGACTATTAATCCAGAGTCCCAGTTAATGTTGTCAGGACTTATGTTTGAACCCCACCGTGGCAGATGGTGCAATTTGAATTAAATTGAATTTAAAATTCTGGAACAAATGATCAGGAAACTATTGTCGATTGTTGGAAAAACCTGTCTGGTTCACTAATGTCCTTTAGGGAAGGGAACCGCTTGGTCTGGTCCACATGTAGTTCGAGACGCGTATGTGACTCTTCACTGCCCTCTGTGCAATTGGAGATGGGCAATAACTGCTGGTGGAGCCAGAGACACCCAGATTCTCTGAATGGATAAAAATAAATTACATAACTCCTTTTTCATATTCTCAAAGCTATTCTTAGATGTTCATTCCATATTAGATGTTCATTCTGAGGTGGGGTGTTGATTTATGTTCATGTCCTTCCTTTCCTTATTTGCCCTTTGAGACATAGTCATCTATGTTCATCATCTGAGATGGTGAATAGGGTTTCGTGTGTATGTGGATGCGTGTGTGTGTGTATGCGTGCATGTGTATGCGTGCGTGTGTGTGTGTGTATGCGCGTGTGTATGCATGCTTGTGTGTATGTGTGTGTGTGCACGTGTGTGCACGCGTGTGTGTATGCGTCTGTGTGTGTGTGTGTGTGTATGCGTCTGTGTGTGTGTGTGTATGCGTCTGTGTGTGTGTGTGTATGCGTCTGTGTGTGTGTGTGTGTATGCGTCT